CAAATTACTGCCTCAGAAGTTTACAAAGCAAGAGGTCAGAGAATGAGAATGGATGCTAAAGGCAGATTTCCAGGTAAGGTCCACTCTGGCCCCTCTCTGTTCCAATCCTAGGGAGGTTGCTGTGGCCAGTCAAATGGGGCAGTGCAGCCTAGGAGCAGTTCAGCAACTGAGAGATTCTAGAGATCTGTAGCACAGACTGGCTCTATTTCTAGATTGTTTATTCACTTGGGGACCTTTAGAGGGTCTATAGCATGTCTTCAATTAGGGTTGGTCATACTCAGCTGTACCACTAGGTTGTTCAGGTCAACCGGGCTGGAGCAGGGCCTGGTGGCGCACACCTGCAATCCTAGCAATCTGGCAGGCTGAGGCAGGAGCATCAGAAGCTTGAGGCCAGCCTCAACAACTTAGCAAGGTCCTCAGCAACTTAACAAGATCCTGTCTCAAAATAAAAAATAGAAAGGATTGGTAATGTGGCTCAATGGGTGGCAAAACTCCCTTGGGTTTAATCTACAGAACAGGTGTTGGGGGTAAGACTAGAGGAGATACTGGTGTCTCAGCTACTTTGCTGGCTGTTGTTCATTCTGAGGGTATCTATAACTTCCTTTTCATTGAATTTCATCTCCATCAGGGAAATGAAACTGAGCATCAGCTCCAAATTCTCTTTCCTCTGAATCTTCTTGAAGATTTTTGTTGGCTTATCTCTGACCTCTTTATTTACTGTATTAGTCTCAGTAGCAGTCTTGGAGGGTCCCTGTCTTGTCTAGTGGGCCTTTGCTTGATTAGAGATGTCTACAGTTGGGCCTTCTGAAAGCTCAATTAACTACTCCATGGTATAGAGTAATTCAGTCAAAGGGATCTTGTGGCTCTGCTCTCAGGAAAGTCCGTCACCATGAGATGCTACCATGGAGCTTCATCCACTTGTTCTTTTTCCTCTTTGTTCAATATAACATCTTCCTTCCTTCTATTTTTTTCCCCTTTTCCAGTAGTGGGGATTAAACCCAAGGGCACTTTACCACTAAGTTACATATCCAGCCCATTTTATTTTTATTTAATACTTTTTTTTAGTTGTTAATGGACCTTTTTATTTTATTCATTTATATGTGGTGCTGAGAATCGAACCCAGTGCCTCACATGCTAGGCAAGTGCTCTATCTGAGCCACAACCCAGCCCCATCCAGACCATTTTATTTTGAGATAGGGTCTTGCTATGTTGCTGAGGCTAGTCTCAAAATTGAAATCCTCCTGCCTCAGCCTCCTGAGTACCTGGGATTAAAGATGTGTACCACCATGCCTGGCTACATATTTTTTTTCCCTGTTTTTAAATTTTTCATTTTGTGAAAGGGTCTTGCTAAATTGCTGAGGTTGGCCCTGAACTTATGATCCTCCTGCCTCAGCCTCCGAAGTTGCTGGGATTACATGGCTCTTCTATTATTTTTGAGAAAAGGTCTCATTATGTTGCTCAGACTGGCTTCAAACTCCTAGGCTCAAGTGATCCTCTGGACTGAGTAGACTTGGGACTATAGGAATAAGTCACCATGCCTGGCTCAACATTTGCCTTCTAAACATAATTCAAACATGACAGAGTTCATTGTTAATAACATTTGTTCCACCTTCAATAAGTTCACACCAAGATTTTCCAGAATTCTGTCTATAAGTCTTTCATGTTGGTCTAGACCACAATCCACTCCATACAGTAGGAGAGCAAGATGGCTACTGCTGGGAATATTGCATCTCTATGTTTTAGAATAATTGGGACATCTTTATCTTGGATATTCTCTCCAGAGATTGTTTCAGTATCATTCCTGGAATAAGCAGATATTAATTTGTGATGGGTTACTAACACTTTGGGGATCTTCTTATTCTTTTCTTTCTTTTTTTTTTTTTTTGGTGTGTGTATGTGTGTGTCTGGTGTGCTGGGGATCCAACCCAGGACCTCACACAGGCCAGGCAAGCGCAGTACCACTGAGCCACACCCCAAGCCCACTTTTAGGGTCTTTTAAACTCGTATAAACACAGTGGTAGAGGCAGCACACTCCTTTGAGCTCTATGGAGGGATTGGTAGTTGCTTTCTCCAGTCACTTGACATCACTGGCTACGTTGGTGGGCAGCTCCAGTACTTTGCCTACAAAGATCTTTTCTTCCTGTGGCAATACCTTGATGCCTCCACTGGGCCCTGCACCTGTCACCTTGGCTCTTAAGGTCCCCAGGAAGGTGGGTAGAGTGTCACCTTCTGCCCATATGTGCCATTGTTGGGACACTTCCACCCCTGTCACTTGCAGCAGTGTAGGCAGTTTCCTTGCTTCTGCCACTTGAAAATAAGGATTCTGAGTTTCTATAATTATCTGGGAACCTAGAAGGCCATGCATATGTAAACGGTAGGGTTCATGATCAGAAAAGACCTGAGAAGTCCCTAAACTCTCACCTGTGGCTGACCTTCGAGCTTTGTGCAAGCAGGAAATAAAGGTAGAGATGTAAACTGCATGGCTAAATGCTGAATGTTGGTGTGCTCCAACACACACAGGGAATCCAGCTGCAAATACTGGGAGTTTTTGACTCTAGGCATTTAAGAAAACCTTTGTCAAATCACTATCTGATCACTAAGCTGAGAGAACAGAGACTTCAGTGACCACACACAATAAAGACACAATTTAAAAAATGTTACTGAACAAAGAATTACAATCCATAAAAAGCAAMAACAACAAAACCTAAGAAGAAAGGAGAATCTGATTTTCAGAGTTACCACACTGTAATATTCAAAATGTCCAGTTTCTTTCTTTCTTTCTTTCTTTTTTTTTTTTGTACCAGGGATTGAACTCAGAGGCACTTGACTACTGAGTCACATCCCCAGCCTTATTTTGTATTTTATTTAGAGACAGGATGTCGCTGAGTTGCTTAGTACCTTGCTTTTGCTGAGGCTGGCTTTGAACTCGCCATCCTCCTGCCTTAGCCTCCTGAGCTGCTGGGATTACATCTTCTCTTCACCCTCTGTCAGTAGTAGGGAATGAACCCAGGACCTCATCATGMATACTAGGCAAAGCACTCTACAACTTAGCTATATCCCCAGCCCTTTTTATTTTTTAATTTTGAGACACAGTCTCGCTAAATTGCCTAGATTGGCCTCAAACTTGCAACACTCCTGCCTCAGCCTCTTGAGTAGTTGGCATTAGAGGTATGGGTCTTTGTGCCTGACATAATATACTTCCCAACTACTCAGGAGGCTAAAGCAAGTGGATTCAAAGTTTGAGGCCAGCTTAGTCAACTGAATGAAAGCCTGTCTCAAATAAACATAAAACAGGATGGGGAAGTAGCTCAGTGGTAGAGTACTTGCCTAGCATGCACAAGTCCCTGGGTTCAATCCTGCAAAAACAAAACAAACAAACAAACAAAAATCAAAACAACCAAACTATGAGCAATCAGGGGTTGGGGGTACAGCTCACTATAAGAATACATGCTTAACTTTCATGAGGTCCTGGGTCAATTTCCAGAACAAGAAAACAAAAAGCACAAGTCATCAATATAAAACTTGTGAGACTAATAATCTTTTAGGAAACCATTACAAAAGATGTAAAAACTCCTGTAAGTAAGCTCTAGAGGTGACTCAGGGTCAAGAGAACACAATAACTGAAAACAAAATATGATGATGGATACAACCAGATGTAGGAAACAGAATATAATGTGAACACTCAGTAGAATGATAGAACAAAAACCAAAACACGCAACAGCGACAATAAGATTACCAGGATTTAGAGTCCAACACAGACCATGAGTTTCTTTTCTTTCTTTTTCCTTTCCTTCTTTCTTTTTTTTTTAAAGAGATACACAGGAGAGTTTATTTGTCAGAGCTGACAAATAAGAGCCATCTCTCCATAGACAGAGAGGCCCCATGAGGTTTTTTTGGTACTGGGTATTGAACTTGGGACGCTGCATCCCCAGCTCTTTTTATTTTGAGAAAGGGTCTTGCTAAATTGTTTAGGACCTCACTGAGCTGCTGAGGCTGGCCTCAAACTTGCGATTCTTCTTCTGCTTTAGCCTCCCAAGTCACTGGGCTTATAGGCAGGCATGCACTACTGTGCCCAGCGGACTATGCCTTTTTTTTGTTTGTTTTGTTTTTTTGGTGACACTGAATATTGAACTTGGGGCACTCTAACACTGAGCTACATATCCTCAACCCTGTTATTTTGCAGTACTGGGGAGGGAACCCAGGATCTTGTGCATGCTAGTCAAGCACTCTACTATTAAGCTACATCCCTATCCCCATTTTTATTTTGAGACAGAGTCTTGCTAGTTGCCCAGGTTGGCTTGAACTTGTGATCCTCCTGCCTCAGCCTCCCAAGAGGCTAGGAACACAGACATGTACACTGTGCCAAGCTCCTGCTTTATTCTTACAAGAGCCACAGTGATTCCTCCTTCTAATATTCGTACCAGCTTATACCACCACTGTGCTCAAACCCCTCTGAGGACTTCCTATCCACTCCAAGCTCAATCACTCCATCGTTTACAAAGCCTACTATGACTGGATGCCCAGCTACCTCAGAGAGCTCATTCCCTTATATACCGCTGCTCTATTCCAGTTACCCAATTTTCATACTATATGTCTGGAACATGCCCAGATACTCTACTTTAAGGCTTTTAGCTGCGCCTATAAGAGAGCAAAACCTGATATTCAAATGGGCTTTTTCCTTACTTCTCTAGGGTTCTGTTCACATGTCACCTAGCAGCAAGGCATTTACTGAACAAAGGACCTTGTCTCAACACTACCCTCAATCCTTTTACTTTATTTTCATTTATAGCTCTAACCATGGCTTGATATTCTACACATCTATTCTTTAATTTATTTACGGACTCACCAACCTTTGCCCCAATGTAAGTCTTTTAGATGGCACAGACTTTGTTTTGCTTATTGCTATATACCTAACATCTAGAATAGTACCTAGCACAAAAGTAGTATTCAATCAAATTTTAAGCAGTTAATGGATTAAATGAAAAAATATAAATACCTACCCAGAATACATGTCATGGGACAGGTTTCTTCCAGATTACTCAGAAACACTTCTTTTTTGTAGAACATTTTTGTGGGCTCATGCTCTGTTTCTTCTGGGTGAATGAAAATGGGGCCATAAAAATATGCAGCTCCATCTCGGACCCACACTTTTTCAATTCTTGGGGGGAAAATGGAGAAATTACATCATGATAATTCCATTCTTGAAGGATTAATCTAGTAAAAATTCTATTAGCCAAAACTTAAAGAGTATGTGCCATTCAACAGTATTTGTCTTACTGAAATTTATATAACTTCATTAATTGCCCTCCTCCTTTAAGCATACAAGATACTTAAAAAGAACACAGGGTCCCACTTATTTGAAAAAAATAACCATAATATCAAGATATGTAATTTAATAGTTTTATCTGACTTTCAGATTTTCTTCCTGAAATATGCATATAAAACTAGAACTAAGCATCTTTTATTGGACCTGTAAATCCAATAAAGACACACAATTTCTATATTTGGAGTTGAATCACATGAATGGCAGACATTCCTTCAACACAAAGGTTCATAACCTTTTTGAAAGTCAAGATCCAGTCCGGTTCACTCCTTGAGAAACTGATGAATGCCAATTAACACCTCCTTAGAAACAACAACAAAACATTAACATGTACTATGTACCAGATACTGTACTATTTCTCACAACCAATAAAGTTGATATTATTGTCCCATATTTTTGTGGTTCCTGGCATGAAGCAGCATCTTCTCTTTAGCTAATAGTAACTCTAACCTTCCAGTTCCTCAGGCCCAACACACAAGTCACCCTGCCTCTCAGACCTCACATTCCATTTATTAAGTAAATTATTAATTTGACCTTCAAGGTAGTACACTTTGCAACACTCTGGTCTGAGACACCATTATTCTTGCTTGGATTATTTTCAACGGCCTGTAAGATCTCCTTGTTCCTACTCTTGATAGTCTATTCTTAAAAACCAGCAGGCAGAATAATCCTCTTACAACCTAAGTCAAATGTCACTCTGTGCTTGAAACAATACAGTGTTACTCCATTTAACTCCATAATAGTATAAGTCCCTACAATGGTTTTTGAAGCCCTACATGATTTGCTCACTACCACTGGCTCTTCCCAACTAACTCTTCCCTGGCTCACTCTGCTAGTTGCAACTTCTGCTGGTTTGAACAGGCCTGGCATACTTTTCTCTCAGGCCTTTACAAAATCTGTTCACTTCTCCCTGGAATGCTTTTCCCCTGTACTTTCAGAATTCTTACTCCTTCTGTTTCTTCAAACATTGGCTCAAATGCCAGCTTCTTAATGAGGCCTGTGCTCTAGACCATTCTCCCTGCTCTCACTGTACACATCTCTCTTCACCCAGCTCTATTTTTTCAACAGCATATATCATGATCCACTGCACTACAATTCTACTTATTAAAGATGTTTATTGTTTATCTTCTCACCAGAACAAAGTTCCATGGGACTAAGAACATCTGTTTTATAAACTAATGTATTCTCAGAGCCTGGCAAATAATATAGTAAGTGGTTACTGATTGATGTACAATGAGGAGGAAACAGAAATAGAGGCAACTCATGTACTTAAGAACATGCAACTAGCAGAGCTTAACCAAGATCTCCTAGAACCAACTACTGGGTTTTTTTTTGTTTTGTTTTCCTGTTTGTAGCACTAGGAATCAAAGCCAGGGCCTCTAGCATGCTAGGGAAGTACTCTACTACTGAGTTTCATCTCTAGCCTTCAAATACCATTGTTCTTAACCATAATCCTAATGACCAACTGAGTACCTGACTCCTTGAACTTTTGCCATCTAACCTTCCTTACATCAATTTACTTGTTCATAAATATATGAGCCCCTACTATGTTTCATGCACTGATTTCAGCAGAGAATACAAAGTTGAGCAAAAACAGAGAGTTCCTATTTGCAGGGTATCTGGAAATCCAAGGTATGGAAACTAGACAATATAAATATCCATGTGTGATACTCTTTCTTTTTTTTAATATTTATTTTTAATTTTGGGTAGACACAATATCTTTATTGTACATTTATGTGGTGCTAAGGATCGAACCCAGTGCCTCATGCATGCTAGGCGAGTGCTCTGCCACTGAGCCACTAAACCCCAGCCCCATGATACTCTTATTTCTAACAAGGAAAAACATAGTGCCTAGGGGAATGGGAAACTGGGAGACAAGCCAGTATATAGGTAAAGGAAAGGGTTCTTTAAGGATGTACTATTTCAAATTTAAGCTTAGAATTACCATACAAAATGGGCAGGGAGATTTCTGAGCTGAGAGTTAAGTAAATGGTGGGAAGAATGTAAAAAATGTGTTTTTAGAGGTGAAAGCAGGGGAAGCACGGTGTGAAAAGCAGCTAGACAAATTGCCAGGGGAGGGACTTATGTCTTAATTATTCATGTCTACTAGCCCCAAACCTCAGAGTCAACTTTATCTTCCCTATTTCAAGGATATTCACCTGCCCACGCGGGGGCGCACCAGACCATGGGACTTGATGAAGACACAATCGCCAACCTTCAGCCACATGTCATTGTAACGAAGCTGCTCAAAGTAGTGGCAACCTGGTTCACCGTTGGACATTTCCACAGGGACATCTTCTTTTTCCTGTGGTAAAGGAAACTGGCTAAAGAAAAGCAGCCAACCATGAAGGACAGGACAGAGAAGAAAAGAAAGCAGGACTTTCCTTCACATCAATGTAAGGGAAAAAAAAAAAAAAAAACTTAAGTAGAAGTTTTGATGAAGGTTAAGAAACCAAAAAGTTAGGTGGTTGAAATTAAACTGCAGTAATCATTAAAATTTCTAGATATTTTTCATAAAATAACGTTAGCCTAAGATGCTTTTATCCCCTCTCCCTCTTTCCAATTTCTGTATCTTTGAGTCTGGCAAGGACTTATTAGCATTCAGAATTGGAAAATTTCACATACTTTTATAGATAGTGTATAAGAAGCAAACTTCATATAAGCTCCCCATTTATTGCACTTACTTGAGCTCCCTCAATTCCTTTTATTGGTTTTTAAACTTTTTTTTTTAAATATAAATTCAGCCATTCAATTTTTAGGGTGGCAAAGTTCATTTACTGTCCATTCTGAAAAGTAATACTTCCTTTTTGTCACCTCCAAGAACGAGAAATCAAGTAAGTTGGTAGTTGCCCAGCCTTTGTGACTTATTTGTGTACAGAAAGAGTTTGTCTCCATCTTTTCAGTTTTAACCACTGATTAAGTCTTTGAAGAAACAAGACAACTGGGAACTCCCTTGACCAGGAGATTCACTCATCAGGACAACAGGAGGACTCCCTCCTCACACCACAGAAGTGCCCAGCAAACTTATCCCAGACAAAGTAGGAAAGAGGAGAACAGACAAATTTTAGGAGATGCACCAGAGTGACAGGATAAGATTGGCTTTGGAAAACTTGATACAACCCTCTCTTCTTGAGACTAGTTAAACATCCCTGGAAAGGTAGGTAAGAACAGACCAGGAACGTGGAAGGTGCAGAAGCCACAGGAACCCACACCACCCAGAGTGGAAAGGAAGAGAGTCCACGTTAGAAGCCTTCCTTCCCTGTCAGGACTCCTCCCTTTTTGCCACTCTGCCCTTAAGGGCCCATTAATCCTCCCAATCTGGTCTCTTATCACCCAACCCAAGGAGTACACTTCTACTCTAGGAAAAAAATACAGAAGAAAGAAGAGAGCTAAAGCTAGAAGCCTGGCACTCTCTGCTGCCTCTTAGTTTCTTCACATTAACAACTGACAGACTTTAAAGTTTTACTCTTTATGCCGACATGAAAAGGAATAGTAGAACCTGTGTAATAAACACTCATAATGTTTTTGAATAAACTGCTGGATCTGTTACCTATTAGCTGCTGTGAGGATGGGCAAGTTACTTGACCTCTTGTGCCTTAGTTTCCCCATCTATAATATAAAGATCACCGACAGTGTGCCCACCAAACAGAATTGTTCAGAAGCTTAAATAATATAATTCATGCTTACCTACACAGAATTATTAACATAATGACATGTAAAGACTTTTGTAATTTGAACAATGCTTGCATTCCTAGAATGTACTCCTCTTTCTTTGGTCAAGTTTTCTAAAAAAATAATTTGATTTCACTTGAAAAATAATTTCCCCTAAGAAATTTTTGGCCTGGTATTCATAAATGAGACTGAGCAATAATTTTCTGCTTTTTATTTTCAAATTGTGGAATCCAGATTGTTTTGGCTTTATAACAACTGGGGAGTTTTCTTTTTCTCCATGCTCTGAAACAGTTCAAATAGCATTTAAATTATACGCCCCTCAATTAAATAAAGGAAAGCTCAGTACTATTTGGGATTAGCTTTTTGACACTTTCAGTTTCTTCATGTTGTTCACTTGTGCTGTATCTCTTCCTGATTCCACTTTGACAATTCATATCCTAGAAAATTATTCATTTTATTTTGGTTTCCAAATTTATTTAAAATGTACTGACTAAATTTCATCCACCTTTTGTCTGTCTGAGCTTACTGCCCTCCCTATCTTCTTTCACCTTTTTTGAACTTTTTGGGGATTGAACCCAGGGTGCTTTACCACTGAACCACATTCCCAGCCCTTTTTATTTTTAGACAGGATCTCGCTAAATTGCTGAGGCTGGTCTCAAACTTGCAATCCTCCTGCCTTAGCCTCCTAAGTTGTTGGTACACCAACATATTCGGCCTCTTTTACCTTTATTAAGAGAGTTGATAGTTTATTTCATTGGACTTGTCAAAGAATTAGCTCTTAAATTTACTTTTATTTATTTAAAGATTATTGGTCTTATGGTACTGGGAAATGAATCCAGGGCCTCAAGAATTCTACACAAGTACTCTACCAGTGACTACATCTCCAGTCTCTGGATTTACTTTTTAAACTCTCTATTTTTTGCTTCTACTCTTTTTTTTTTTTAAGTAGTAAGTCCCCCCCCCCCCCCTTCCTCTGAGTTTCCTCCTCTCTGTTCGGCTAAGGTTTCATACTGTCAATCATTTTCTGAGTTTGAATACTTTAATCACTTGTCTTCTGGAACAGATATTTGGAGGTGTAAAATTCTTTTTTTTGTGTTTGTTATCTACATACCTTTTCCAAGTTAAAATTATCTTCAACTCGACTGTCCTCTGAGTTATCTGTATTCTTCTCATCATCCCCTTTATCTGCATTTGCAAATACAGAGGCAACTCGAACCACAGGCAGAGGTACATCTCGAGGGACAAACCTAACTGAACTGATGGGCATAGTCCACAATTTAATTTTCTTAAAAGATTTGGTTTTAGCAGAATACCGTGATTCACAGACAAAAACATCCTCATCTCGAAAGCTTTCTGGGCATAATTTAAAGTATTCCTATGGGACATAAAACGAGACAAGTCAGGTAAATTTTCTGAACAAAAACAAAAAAGTAATACTAATCAACCAAATAAAGGTTAAACTATGAAGACTTTCTAGCAACAAACCAGTAAATAACTAGAGATCTAGGAATATTTCCTTGCCTACTGAAATGATTAAACATATACCCTTTAACTTATAATATGAACAATTCCATTTAGCTTATCGATTACCCTTTGAGAATATATTAATATTTCACAGAGTTAGAAGTCAACAGCTTTGGACAGGACTCATGTACCTCTATCAGACAGATAAACAAAAAGTACACCTTATTACCTAAAAACCAAACTAATAATGTATAGTGATTATTTTCAGAAAATATCACTCTTAAAATTAGCCTGGCAATAAGTTAACTTCACACAGTTAATAAGTGTAGGCAGGAAATGGTCTTTTGCAACCATATTCTGGTTAATTTCTCCCCAAATCTCCACATAGAGCTATACAGATACAGCTTAAAAACAGTTTAAATTTTATCCCGAGCAAATGATTGATATTTTTAGAACTAATTGATTTTCTTACCTTGACAAACATGACCACACATTTGCCTAGAATTTTACTAACAGGAACTTTATTGTAATAGTCACTCTTAAAAACTTCTTTTTCTAGAAATTTTCGTGTAGCCAGATGGAATGTTTCATTTGGCCGATAAAACCAACAGCCATACAACCATTTTTCACCTCAAAAACAGAGAGAGAATCATCATTAACAGAAACCACACATTCTTGTCAAAATGAGGAAACAGGGGCTGGCTAAGTGGTAGACTGTTTGCCTAGCACGTGTGGGGCACTGAGTTCAATCCTCAGCATCACATAAAATAAATAAATAAATAAATAAGTAAGTAAGCAAATAAATAAATAAATAAAGGTATTGCGCCATCTACAACTAAAAAAAAAATCTAAAAAATATATTTTAAGGGCTAGGGATGCAGCTCAGTGGCAGAGTGCTTGTCTAGCACGTGAGGCACTGCATTCAATCCTCAGCACCACAAAAAATAAACAAAATTAAGCGATGATGTCCATCTACAACTACAAAAAAAAACTGTTTAAAAAAATAAATAAATGAGGAAATAATCCATCAAGTCATTATGCCATGGTCTAAACATATAGCACTGTGTTTTTTCAGAAGACAATTTCCTAATTTCTTAATATAATTACCTTATAAGGAATTATACTTTAAAATTGTGAAGTAGGAGGAGAACTAAAAAAAAAAAAAATGCCACTTTTCCGCTTACATTCAAAGACATGCATTATGTAGAAAAAGAAAGGTAATGCGATCTGTTGGGGTCAACACACACTTAAGTTCTGTGGTTTAGTAAGGATATATACAGATATACTCATAGTGTACAGCTGAAGGAATTAAAAAATATCTCAGGATGGGCAATTGACAAAACTAGATTGCCTGGATTACATTTTCCCCTGTCTTGGGTTTCATTAACTTTTTTTCCTCTTTTTTTGGTACCAGGGATTGAATCTAGGGTGCTTGACCATTGAACCATATCCCCAGCCCTTTTTATTTTGAGAGAGGGTCTCATTAAATTGCATAGGGCCTTGCTAGTTTGTTGAGACTGGCTTTGAACTTGTGATCCTCCTGCCTCAGCCTCTTGAGTTGCACTTGGCTGGTTTAATTAACTTCTCTTCATTCTCCATGTCTCAAAGGCCATTTTTCTAGAAAGATTTATCAATGACAAATTCTAAGCCAAAGCACAGTGTCTTTCTATAATAATTTATTTTTCTTATCTCCAGCCCAAACCTTTCTGTTCTGAATCTCTGCCATCCTACAGAGCATTTGGTTAAAAAATGTGTTTTTAATAGGTTATCAGTTGAATGAATAAATTTCAACTAAATTTTAAAAAACTTATTTTTCTCATTCAACTATGACACTGATGCTGCCCAACAGTGTTATACTCTGGGTTTATAAGGAGGGTATGTATTCACATTTACTGATATGATTACATTTATTGAGACAAGAGAAAAACTATAATTGGAAGGCATAAAATATCTGAATTAAAATTTCTTTCTTGAGGAGCAAAAAGAAATAAAAGAGCCACATCTTCCCAATGTACCTTTGATTTAAAATAAACTTACCAGCTGAATCTTCCCACAGTCTCTCAATACAGACTATATGTGGTTGTAGGTTGGCTTCTGCAGGTTCCACATAGACATAATCTCCAACATGGTACATGCTGTTCTTAAAGCTGCAGTCCTGGCTATATGTGCGATGTAAGCCTGACAGGCCAGTAGCACCTGACGAATCTTCACTCTTTTCAGCTTCTTGTGTTAAAAAAAAAAAAAAAAAGGTATTTAATAAAAGAAAATGCTGCAATCAGATGCAAGATTCAAACAACATACAATAATACATTTAATTCTGTTTGTCACATTCAAAGGGAATAGTCAGAAAAAATAGTATGATCTTCACATTTTCAATATTGCCTTATTGGGGGTGGGGGGTGTGTAGGGGTCCTGCAATGTTGCTCAAGCTTTTTTTTTTTTTTTAAATTGGTCTCAAGCTGGTCTTAAATTCATGGGCTCCAATGATCCTCCTGCCTTCTAAGTAGCTAGGACTACATGTGTGCATCACCACACCCAACCTCAAAATTGCATTTTTGAATTATAATCAACTGCCATTAATTTCAATAAACCCGTGAGATTCTATACATTAAAAATAATCACCTTAGTAATATATGCCAGTCATTTTCAGTAATTCAGAAAGGTATAAGGAAGAAAATAAGTCACTTATAGATCATGTAATCCTAGAGAAAACATCTGATGTACTTCTACTCTATCCTAATGTTCCTGAAAAAGTTTTTCCTAACAGTTATTACATGGTTATGTCACAATTAATGGAGTTTTAGAATTGAGAAAATATGGAATACGTGTATTCTGTAAACCATATATGTGTGTGTATGTGTGTGTGTATGGACATACATATACACAATATATCATTAATATTTTCTGAAATAAAATGCTTTTGTTCAATAAAGACTTTTATTTTTGTTAAATAAAACATTTTCATAGTTCCAGTATAAGCTATCATTTGCAAATACCACAGAGTGTTTTTTGGTTGTTGGTGGTGGTGAGGATAATGCTTCGCCCACCTATTTGATAACTTCCTTAGGATAATTTTACATAAATAAAAGAACTGGGAATAAGCATTTAAAATGATTTTTAATGCACATTCCAAATTAATCTCCAAAAAGCGTACTTCAATTTAAGTTCCTTACTGATTGACTACAAGGGGCCTCTGTCTCCATTCTCTAATACTGGCATTACAATAAAAAAAAAAATAGTTTTGCCATATTTTTTTAAAGAGAGAGAGAGAAGAGAGAGAAGAGAGAGAGAGAGAGAGAGAGAGAGAGAGAGAGAGAGAGAGAGAGAAAATTTTTAAATATTTATTTTTCAGTTCAGTGGACACAACATCTTTATTTTATTTTATGTGGTGCTGAGGATCAACCCAGTGCCCTGTGCATGCTAGATGAGCGCTCTACCGCTTGAGCCACATCCCCAGCCCCAGTTTTGCCAATTTTGATGAAACGTTACTTACCAGTAGAATAAGCAAATCCCTTGACATACAAAGTAGACCAAAAGGTTCTTGAGAATTTTACACCAGCAAAAACAATATCATGGACAGACAAGGGCACAGAGTACAAAAAGTCTGAACAACCCCCAAATTCTAGATACACGAAACAGGCTGATAAAACTAACAAGTTGCAAGCATCTTTCATGAAAAAGGAGGATTTCAAGGGCTGAGTACTAAGCCAGAGGATGTTCTCAGTCCTAGAAACCCACTGGGATTTGTTTAGGTGCATTTAAAAATTCCTTGAAATCAGTAATACTTTTTTCCATCTCCCTGTTTTTGAACAGAAATATCTATACATGTCTCACTGCCTTCAAGAGCAAAGAAACCGGCGGCTCCCTCCCAAAGTTGTATAGGTCTACAGATAGAAAGGAACTGTGTACCATGATGTTTTATATCTATAGCCTCATTTGGGACTTCTGAGCTGAGGATATTTAGATAAGGTTTTGGTACCTCTTAGAAGGGCACTACTAGTAACAAGTACCTAAAATTATGTTAGTGGTTTTGAAATTGTGCAGCAAACAGACTGGAAAATTTCTCAGAAGTGTGCATGGTGGCTTACAAGTTTGAGGCCAGCCTCAGCAAGTTAGTGAGACTGTATCAAAATTAAAACAGTAAAAAATAAAAAAGGGAGATGTAGCTCACTGGAAATGCTGGGGAGCTAGCTCAGTAGGGAATAGCCCTGGGTTCAATCCCAAACAAACAAAACCCAAAAAACAAAACAACAACAAAAAATTCTCTTTTTCGGGGAAGCATGATGACAAAAGTCTAAATTGCCTTGGATTAGATTGTTAATAGAAAAATGGACAACTTTTTTTTTTTTTTTTTTAATTGCTGGGTATTGTAGCACAAGCCTGTAATCTCAAGTACAGTAGTTACTTGGGAAAATGGAGCAGCAGGGAGAGAAAGTTCCATTCTGGCCTGGGCATCTCTCTAGACCTTGACTCAAAAAGAGCTAAGGATGTAACTCAGTGGTAGAGAGTCCCTGGGTTCAATTTCCAGTACTACACACACACACACACACACACAAAAAAAAAAAAAAAAAAAAAAAAAGGAAAAAGAGATAGACAGCATGCTAAGAGCTAAACAGCTAGAAGGGCCAAAGGGGTTCCCTATTTAGTATAAATCCTTTTACTCTTCACCCTTACCCTCAGATTTGTCTGGAATCTGAAGTCTTGGGAAGGGCTGAGGTGGGGAACTGAAGGCTCAACTGCTTTTAGACTTTCAACCAGTCCTCCTGTTTTCAGACCCACATGTATTTCCACTTTTAGAAGTACCTGGTGTTCTACTCCCTGTGCAATTCTGAGACAGGAACTGGCCTGTTTGAAGGACTTATCTACTATAGACACTGAAACCAGTATTGGCAACTTACACATCAATTTTCCAGCCTCCAAATTTTAATTACCACCATCTCCTTGTCCATTAATTTATTTTTTTAAGGGATGGAAATACTTGTGTGTTTGTCTTTTTTATGCTTTTTAAAAATTCCTTTTCCATCCTTTTAGAGGTGTTTTAAGAAGGAAAAACAGTAGACATTTGTGAATAATCTGCCGTACTTAACCATAAGTTCTGTTTCTTTTTCTTTGCTTACTTACCCTTGTATGAGACATTCTGGGAGTTAACACAAAACAGGGTAAAATCTTCTAGATTCCCTCGTTTTTTATCTGGTTGTTGCTAACAATCCTCCTCTCATGGCTTAAAGACAAAGAGGGCTGATATACATGACCATTATTCAACTTTCTGGTGTGCTGCATCTTCTAATGTTCATAAAGTAACCACAGATAATCTGAAGCAGACTGCAGTTCTTTTATGGCAAGAAATAAGTTGTTAAAATAGCTCTCAGAGTATACTGCTTTTATAGCCTTTCCTAGTCAGTTCTTCCTACTATTGACTCTGCATACTGTTTCTTACCTACTTCTACCACCCAATCACACTGCTGGGAAATATAGTCTTTGAGTTAGTACAAGAAAAAAGGTAAAGTGGCCACACTTTGAGAAATATCTTAGAGTAACTCCAGAAGAAGCTGTTTCTGATTTTATATTGCTGGGAAAAGAGTCAGCTAAACTTAAAAAAAAAAACACAAAAAAAACAATTCCAACTATTCAAAACTTGGCAGGTAAAAATAACTCAGGTCGTCCAAATATCTTCCCAGCATAGCACTGGCATTTCCTGTTTTCTCTTTATGGCTTTCTGCTGTTTTTTTTATTATTTCTTCTCCTCCTACCTACATTGTGGTATGCTTGTGTCTCTTTTAATAATTTTATATCTTTCTTCCTTTCTAATATAAGTATTTAAAGCTATAAAGTTCCTTCTAAGAAAAGTGTTAGCTTTATTCCATAAATTTTAAAACATTGTTTTCATTTCAAGATTGTTCTGACTGCACCTGTAATGTCTTCTTTAATCATGGGTTATTTATAATTTCTAAGCACCGCCTCCCCATTTCTTTCTGTTGCTAAATTACAATCTAATTCCATTGCATTTGGAGAACAAACTTGGTATGATTTCAATCTTTTGGTTTTAAAACTCTTTTTATGACCTAGTATATGGCCTATTCTAGATAATATTCCACATGTAATTGAAAAGAAGATGTATTCGATAGTAACTTGGTGTAGTGTTTGACAAATCAGGTCAAGGTGGTTCACACTGCTATTCAAGTCTTCCATATGTTTACTGATTTTTGACCTAGTAGTTCTATCAATCACTATATTCTTGTTAAATTCTGTTTCTTCTTTCAATTCTAATACTTTTTGCTTCATGTATTTTGGAGCTCCACTGTTAGGTATATATACATTTAAGAATATTCTGTTCCTAATATGTTAAGCCCCATCCCTCCCTTTTTTGGTGGTACTGGGGATTGAAGACAGGGACACTCTACCACTGAGCTATGGCCCCAGTCCTTTTTATTTCTGAGACAGGCTAAGTTGCTGAGTCTGGCCTCCAACCTGGCAATCCTTCTGTCTCAGCCTCATGAGTAGCTGGAATTACAGGAGGGAAACACTATGCTTGACATATACGTTATATGTATTAAATATCCTTCTTTGTCTTTAGTATTATTTCTTTTCTTAAAATCTACTTTTTCCGCTAACAGCTATTCCAACTATGGTTACAGTCTGCATTTTTCTCTCCTTTTCAACTTATTTGTGTTTCCGAATGTAAGGGAATCTCTTGCAAAAAGTATATAGTTGAATCTTACATTTTAAATTCCGTTTGATTGGAAAGCTTAGTTTATTTACATTTTATGGAATTACTGCTGCTATTATGTTTGTCATTTTGCTTTGTTATCTATGAGTCTTATGTCTTTTTTTTGTTCTTTAACTCCTTTTATTACCTTGTTTTATAACTGTTAAGTTTGTTTTTGCAATTCATTTTAATTCCTATAGTTGGTTTCATGGATATTGAGGCATTTCCATATGCCTAAATGTAGCACCATCTCCTTAATTTTATAAACACTGAATTTTCAAATTATATGGCTTAATTTTTTTTTCTTTTGGCACCTGAGATTGAACCCAGGGGCACTTAACCACTGAGTCACATCCCCAGACCTTTTCATTTTTTTTACTTTGAGATAGGGCCTCACTAAGTTGCTGAGGCTAGTTTTGAACTACTGATCCTCCTGCCTCAGCCTCTAGAGTTGCTGGAATTGCAGTCTTGCACCAGTGTGTGCAGCTTATGATTTAATTTCATTAAATGTTACAACTTTGCTCCAACATAGTTACATTTCTCTTCCTTTGTGCTTTTTTATTTATTTTTGGGTGAGGCTAGGGAGGGAAGCCAGGACATTCCACATACAAAGTAAGGTTCTACCACTGATCTATATCCCCAGCCCCCTTCCTTTGTGCTTCCTGTCATACATATGACTTCTATAAATGTTATAATAATAACCTTATAGTGTTCTAATTACCGCTTTAGACAATCCAATGTTTTAGACAGAAATTTAAAAAAATTATACACAGAGTCTTTTACATTTATCCTCATATTTTCCATTTCCATTGCTCTTCAGTTCTTCTTATGGTTTTGAGTTATCATCTGGTAACACTTTTCTGGGATTGAAGCTATTTATTTATGTCTCATAGTATAGGTCTGCCAGCAGCAAAGTCTCTTAGTTTTTATTTATCTGGGAACATCTTTATTGCAACTTCATTTTCAAAAAATATACAAGTCTTGATTTAGTTTTATCTTTCTTCTCTGTATTTTTTGAATATCATACCATTGCCTTCTGGCCTCCATTATTTTATATGAGAAGGCAGTCATTAATCAGATTATTCTTTCCTTGTCTGTGATGAGTCATTTTGTTGCTTTCAAGATTTTCTCCCAGCAGTTTGACTATGTCGTTCTTTTTGTGTTTATTTTACTTGGGGTCTTTGGAGCTTGTGAACTTGTGATGTTCTTCATCAAAAAACATCATTATGTCTTCAAATATTTCTTCTTCCCCCTTTTTTCTCTTCTTTCCTCTGAGATTACTATTTAGGTCTACCAAGGGACTTGACACTAGGGGTTGCTGCTATATCTCGATAGTTAGGGGTCAGCTAATGATTTAGATGAAGGCTGTGCTCAAATACTTCAAACCCATAAGGTTTTACCCTTTGCTGATTATGGGGCAGGGGTGGGGGTATGCATCTAAAGTTGCAGTGATTTTCAAGCATCCCATGGATTTTGCTCTTAACCAAGTTCTTGCATCTCCCTCACACATAAATAGTTTTCTTTTTCTTTTCTTTCTTTTTTTTTTTAGAGAGAGAGAGAATTTTAATATTTATTTTTCAGTTCTCAGCTGATACAACATCTTTGTTTTGTATGTTGCGCTGAGGATCGAACCCGGGCCGCACGCATGCCAGGCAAGCGCGCTACCGCTTCAGCCACATCCCCAGCCCCAATACATAGTTTTCTAGTTAGTCACAAATGTGTGACAGCTTATCTCAGCTCTTCCGTGGGTTTCAAACTTCTAGGACATTCCTTAATATGGATCATAACCTCAGGCAGCAAAGCTGCAAAGACTCCTTTCATTTCTGTATCATCCATTTTTAGCTGGCAAAGATTCTACCTCTACCCTCATTTTATCATCCTGAATGAGCATATCCTTCTGGAAGCAAAAACTAAACTAGCAAAATTACTATTCTCACCAATCAAGTTCTTTTCTTTTCTGGATATGCCATCGCTTACTAGAGTTTGCTTCAAATCAATTTGTTTTGTTTTCTTGCCTAAGGGGTGGGGGGAAATCTAAGGAGGAGGAGTAATGCTGATAGCTAACAAAACATTTAGAAATTCTAAATATCTATATGAATGGAAATATTAAAAATGACGAAATTTCTAATCAAACGGCCGAGGCAGGAGAATTACAAGTTTGATGCCAGCTCTGGCAACTTAATGAGACCCTGCCTCAAAATAAAAAATAAAAAGGGATGGGGGTGTAGGTGGGGTGTCCCCGGGTGGTTCAATTCTCAGTACCAGAAAAAAAAATTATAATTAAAAATTCCTCATTATCAAAATATTCGTAAATTCTGGCAACCAACTCAAAGTAACATTTTAGGTTGATATAATTATAATTAAAATGAAACTTTCAACAAAAATACCGTCTAGCTGTCTGGCCCAAAGGACTTACCAGGAAAGCCACACTACTGAATGATGTTGAGAATGCATTTGAGTTCCAGCCATACCCCTTGGGTTTCATCTTCCAGTAGTATGAAGAGACATTAGGCTCTCACACTTGTGAACCAACTGTTCCTGGATACACAAGTAACTTTCAATCTGATTAATCTGAATAACCAAACTGATAAAAACATTTTCATCTCATCATGCTTAATGTGAAATAGTCAATACTAATTCACACAGACAGGACTCTTCTCAACAGCTAATTATGAGGACAGCTAAAATAGAGTATAATATTCTTCATATTTAATATAATGAAAAGAAACCAACCTCTTTTTTCTTCTTCTCGTTTTAGTTTATCTTCCTCTATTTCTTTTGGTAATTTTTCCTTTTTTTCTTTCTCCACATCATTATGCAAATGCTTTGTGGTATAGCTGAGTGCTGGAGAAAGAAGGATCTCTCCATTTTTGCAGAGTTCATCACGAATTCTAATAAAAAACTGCTGAAGTTCTACTGCATCCTCATATATTTCGGAATCTGTCCTATAACGGCATCAAGAGAATCCATTAACATATAAGCTGTTTCTTTCAAACACCTCAATTGGATGTGAGAGTCTACTAAATGCTTCCTTACTTTGTTCACTATTATAATGGTATATTCTTGAGGTTTTGTTAGAACAGAATCTAAGGTGTCACTTTACGGGAAGCCTCATGCCCACCTGTTTCCTGTTCAGCTTACGTAAAAGGAAAGGCCTCAGCATTTTTCCTTGAAGATACATGGCATATGCATCAATCAGTTGTAGTAGAAGATAGCTGCAAGGATTATACCAAGGCTCCAGACCAAGTCTAACACTTATATTTAATCTCTGAAATATATATTTAATCTCTGGATTAGCTTTTTCATTCCCTTAATTTCGAATCAACGTATTATATAAAGTATTAACAAAAGATTTAGGTTATGTGTCTACTTCTTTTTGGTCCTATATCTTGGCTGCCTAGGTTAGTAGGGTTTGGTATATAAGTGAACCTAAACTGAAAAGCCATGAGGGCATTCTTTAACAGTTATAGGCCTGAGAGTTAGTGTAATTTTAGTTTCTCGGAAACAGTAATTCTGGGGATTCAGGAATGGCAACATAGTGAAAGATGAAAAAAAAAAATCTATGCCATATGCAGAATTTTTCTAAGCGTCTTTCCTCATTTATAAAGTAAAGGGAACAGGCAAAACAAATTTTAGAATTTAGACTAGAAGAAATTATATTATTATCTCTAATTCATTGGGCTCTGAGGAAGGCAGTTACTGTGCCTATTAAGAACATCAAGGACTAAAAAATTATTCACCAAACTAATCATAGACGAATGTCTCATCAGCAGTCACAGAGATATTCTGGTTGAGGGTGTATGAGAGGTGAAGTAAACACAGTCACCCATCCGCTGACATATGCCACTAGACTATGAGACTCCATTGAGGTTTCCTGATGCCTCACCCCAACAGCAAAGGGAGTAGTAAACAATTAAAAACATAGCCAAGCTGGGGAAGTATATTTCTGGATAGGTTTTTAGATGATGATATAGAAATGCTAATACCTATAGAAAAGAAATAAAAACAAAACTTACCAAAGGAAGAAAACCCTAACATGCTATTTTGACATCACACCTGTTTTTTTGACTAGATATATATGTGAAGCTTGTTTTTCTGAAATTAAATTCACTTTATAATAGTTTACGTAAAATTATAAGAGGCCAAGTGTTCAGTAAATGTGCAAGAACAAAAAACTCAAGATGGAAAAAGAACTCTAATTGTCCTCAATCGATAAATAATCTTTTAACATAAGGCAGATATTCAGCAAAATGAAAGAATTAAGTGTGTAAGAGGCTTGTGATGTTTCCCTGGGTTCTTCTTATACCTGTAAGGAACTCAGAGCACTTAATCCAGGAATACTGCCAGCAGATTAGAAAAGCCAGGGTCAACTAGCATGAGACAGCACTATGGTATTACTGAATGCGCTAATAGACAAACCACTGTCAAGTCACCTGAGTGAACTTTTTTGTTCTGTCACACCATTCAGATTCTACTATAAATAGACTTCATTGAATTAATGAATGCCTACATTATCTGGGATGCCCATCTTTGTTACTAGCTGACACATTTCCACCGATCTTTTTCTTTTTTTGCAACCGAGTCTCACTGTGTTGCCTAGGTGGGGCTCAAACTAGCCATCCTGCCTCCTCAGCCCTGCCCCAGTAGCTGGTATTCCAGGTGTGCCATGGCACCTGACTCTCAATTCTCATTAGGTTATTCTTAATTTTTATTAAGTACTATAAGCAGTCACAATATTATCTTCATTCACAAATATAAAAATGGCATCCCTTAGGTTTTTCCACAAGCTTTGGGTATGACAGAAACTGTATTACCATCTCATATAAATAAGAACCAGGTGTGGTGCTGCATGCCTTTGATCCCAGTTACTCAGAAGGCTGAGGCAGGGGGATGGGCAAGTTTGAGGTCAGGCTGGGCAACTTATCAAAACTCTATCTCAAAATAAAAAATAAAAAGGGCTGGGGATGCAGCTCAGAGGATAAGTGTCCCTGGATTCAATCCTCAAGGGGGCAGGAAGTAGGGGATGCACCTTGGGATCTATCTTCTAGTCCTTAAAAACAAAAGCCAATCATGTCAACAACTAGAGAAAGAAAAGAGCTCAATTCCTAGAGATAGAAGTCCACTTAATTCTTAAAACAAACATGTTATCTATACAATTTAAACAGAATTCCTAATAATTTAGGAGAAAAATGCTCTTTAGAAGACTCACAGAACTACTCCCATGATATAAATGAGTTTAGGGAAATAGGGATGGAGCAGAGTGGTTTTAGACTTAATGACTCCTTAAAATAAACTGAGAGCAGAAATGGAAGTCTATATTCCATGAAAGCAGGGTTTATCTGTTTGTCCACTAATATACCCAAAACATTTAATCATGTTTATTAACTGGTAGTTACTCAACAAAACTTTGTTAAGTTAAAAACTACTTCAGATTTTAAATGTGAATGTCCCCCTTTCATGTCTATCCCTATTGTCAAAAGAATGAGGACCACTCCTAAACACATCACTCAAGGGACCCTCCAATCTAGTCCTAACTCCTGTCTCTTAAATATAACATATTCATTTCCTAACCCTTCTTTACCTTTGTTCAAACCACTCACTGTATCTGAAAATCAACTTCTCTTTTCATTTGAATTCCAGCCATCTTTACACTCCCAGATGCCTTATTCCTTCTTTGGAGAACTTTAGCCCACAGTTCCTTATCCCATCATCTTTTCTAATCAGTTGCTATATGCTGTCTCACATCTAGATATTTTTTCCTTAAGCAAAAGTCGTGTCTCATCCATCAGACTTCAAGGTTTTAGAACACAGAGCTCAAGGCTTATCATCCATGGCTCACTCCACTGACTATTCATGACTGGTAACTATCACTAGCAGTCCTCTGCAGTGAGAAACAAGATAAGCCACACCACCTACTAGTGTACAACTCTGGGCAATTTTTCTACCCATGCCTCTAAATCTTCACATGTGAACTAGGAAGATGATCCCTTACCTAGAAAGACTACTAGAAATTAAGAGTTAGAGATTATCCACAGGGAATGCTTAATATGGTGTTTCCCAAAGAGTAGGTGCTCAACAGGAAGAGTGAGCATTACTTTTTTTTTTTTTTTTTTTAAGTTCAGAGCAAATGCTGGCTTCATAAATTTCCCAGTTGTAAAGACACTGACTACTAAAAGCTCTAGCTAAAGGTCTGTAAACTCCAAGAAGACAGAGTTTATATCTTTAACATTTTATATTCTCCCAAGTGCTTTAAAGACTACAGGGAAGATACACAGTAATTACTGATTGAATTGAACAGCTGCTGACACAGAAAAAACACAGACTAAAATTGGAATGAAATTTAAAATTTACTGTTTTTCTTACGAGCATTTAATATCTATAGCAGGCTCTCTAAGAAATCTTCAAGATTAATTTTTTTTAAAAAGCCATTTTTTGGGGTACTTAAATGATAACCAAATTTATATGTGTTTAACCTCAAAACAATAATTTGGTGCTGTTTAATTCTTTGTTTGAAGACAAACCTTTAAAAGAAAAATCCTATTACTATTTCTAATTCTTATTTCAACTCCTAAGCAATTGTCCTTTAAGAAATGTGTTCTGTGAAAGGCCATATGCTTTTCACAAATCTTCAATTCTGTCTTCCATCCTCTCATTGACTCTAAGCTAGATAACTCAGTAGGGTATCCTCTCCTCCTCAAAGAATATACTTACTCTTTTGAAGTTTTGGCTTACTTAGAATTCAGAATAGCATGCTATTAACTATAACCATGTACCTAAGCTGAAATAGTACAGTATTCCTTTATCTGTCTTGCATTAAATACCACACATCTTCAAAAGAAATGGCTTTGAAAACATACCGATTCATCCTTCTTGCCCTTTCCAATACTTCAAACATATGCTCTTGAAATAAATCAAGCCGCCGGTAGCGATTATTTTCAACATTCTTCCTAATAATGTCAAAAGTAAGGGGAGGTTTGTTAGGAAAAGTGGGATCCACACCAGGAATTTCTGCTAAGGAATCACTGTAGCATCGTCCCTCATCATCCTGATGACTCATGACAGATACAAAAAGATTATGGATGAGCTCTTGAATCAGCAAGGTCACATTTGGGACATGAGAGTCCTCATCTCCCTCCAGGTCTCTCCGAGTTTCAAGCAGGACTTTATGTAGGACAAGGGCATCTTTGTAGATCAAAGACTCAGGCTCATTGTATGTACAGGCATTATTAAACATCATGACGAAGTCCTCAACCATAGAGTCTATATCTTGGTACTTGTTGGCCATCATATGACTTCGAATTTTTTCCATGTCCATGGGCTTTTTAATGGTCAGATAGTAGTCAGGCAACTCAGATCTGGAAGGAAGCCTCAGAAATATGGCACTGAGGCGGCGACCTCTTTTATCAGTATAGTTCTTTACAGCTTCATAGACTTCATTTAGTTTCTGCTGCATTGGAGTCATGTATTTTGATTTTTTAGGAGAAACACCACTCTTTCTACCTGAAGAGAGATAATATAAATACATAAAATAAAAATAAATGCATATTTGTATGGAGTTGTTAGTATAACCCTAAGAAAGAAACTATTCCAAATTACTTATAAAACAACAACAAAAAAAAACCTTGAAGAAAATCTTATCTATATTCAGTAATCATATTTTTTTAAATGTTTTATATATATGTATATATTTTGGTTGTAGGTGGACATAATAATACCTTATTTTATTTATTTATATGTGGTGCTGAAGATTGAACCCAGGGCCTCACACATGCTAGGCAAGCGCTCTACTGCTGAACCACAACCCCAGTCCAATAATCATATATTTTTTTTTTTTTACTTTTTAAATATTTATTTTTTAGTTCTCGGCGGACACAACATCTTTGTTGGTATGTGGTGCTGAGGATCGAACCCGGGCCGCACGCATGCCAGGCAAGCGCGCTACCGCTTGAGCCACATCCCCAGCCCCCAATAATCATATTTTTGATGAGAAAATAAAACTGTTGTGTTGAGGTAACTGGGTAAGGTGGAATGAGGCAAATAAGTAGCTATTTAATCTAATTGAGACTTCCCACCTCTAGAATCCCTGAGAACTGAGATTTTCATCACAGGAAAAAGAGATAGATGTTAAAATAGGGGACACATTGATAAAAACTTTATAGCCTGAATCTCAACTGAAAGTATCAATTGAGTTTATAATATATTTTATCTTTAAATATCCAAACACTGAAAATCCTACAAACAATAACCAACTTAGTAGCACTAATCTCAAACTATAGTTTTAAAATGCTAATGTCAAAATAGCCCTGACCTTTAAGTAGAAACACAGAAAAGATTAGAATTTGAAAAATGGCTGATTCTCAGTTTGGAACATCTTCAAATCACAGAAGTAAAGAATTTATCAATAACTTCTAACCATGGTCATGTTAAGAGAACATAGGCACCACCCTGAAAGAAGCTAAGCATAAATAAGGGCAATTACAATGGGTTAAAACTCAACATTATGTTTTAACCTAGTAATTCTTTTTTTTTTTTTTTTTTTTTTTTTTTTTTTTAAAGAGAGTGAGAGAGGAGAGAGAGAGAGAGAGAATTTTTAATATTTTTTTTTTTTTAGTTCTCGGCGGACACAACATCTTTGTTGGTATGTGGTGCTGAGGATCGAACCCGGGCCGCACGCATGCCAGGCGAGCGCGCCACCGCTTGAGCCACATCCCCAGCCCAACCTAGTAATTCTTAATGATACACACAAACAAAAAAATTGGTAAATATTGGAGGATGTTTATAAACTAATGTATTATTTTGAAAACTTGTTAAAAAAATCAAGCTTTTACCATTTCAAAAACAAACAAAAATCTGTACCAATGGGTAGCCAAATATTGGATAAAGCAAGTTTCTCTATGCAAAAGTAGTCCACCTATTAAATGAGCAAGGAAGGATAAAATTAAGCTAAGTATGGTGGTGTACATCTGTAATCCCAGTGACTCAGGATGCTGAGGCAGGAGGATCACAATTCCAGGCCAGTCTCTGCAACTCAGAGGGACCCTGACTCAGGAAGGGATAGGGATGTAGTTCAGTAGTACAATGCTCCTGGTTTTGATCCCTAGTACCACAAAAACAGAAAAGAAAGTTAAAACTGTCAATATTTTATACCTCTTTAATGAGTTAAAGAAGCAAGCATCAAGATTTGTAAAYAGAAAGACTCAACCAGATATCATGTGCCACCTGACATATATCACCTATGAAGTTGGTTTTTGTATCAAAGGGAGAGGACAGGAGAGCCTAAATATGTTCAAGCTCTAATGACTAAAGTATAGAAAATAGAAAGTGATGCAACTAACAAAATACAGACTGTGGGAAACTATAATACAAATCCCATTTCTTTGACAGATAAAAAGGAAAGGTGAAAGTTTACAGATAAAAAGAAATATTAGTCAAATGCAATGTGGGCCTTATTTGGTTTCTACCTCAAACAGACATGATGCAAAAGTAAATGTGGAAAGCCTTTTATAAAGTGTTCTTGTCAAGCTGTAACTAAATAGAATCAGGGCTTTAAAGTTAACCTTTGTTTATAACAAATAGAGGGGGGATAAAGGAAAATGTTAAATGATATCACAGAAACAAAATGAWGTGGGACACTGTACAAGGCGACCTGGTTTCTTCAGTGCATCAATGGCATGAGAAAAGAAAAGAGGAGACTGTCTAAACTATGAGGTTAAGGGCATAGCAATCAAACATAGGGAGCTTAGGCAGAATCTTGGTGGTAGAGCACTTGCCTAGCATGTGTGAGGCCCTGGTTTCAAATCCCAGCATTGCAAAACAAAACAAAACCCCTGAATGATTAAATCTAAATTAGATGATGATTTGAGGAAACCAACTGTAAAAATACATTGAGACAATTAGTAAAACTTAAAAATTTGTGAAGTATTAAGTGAAACCAAGAAACTATTGCTAATTTTGTTCGGTGTGATAAAGTCTTCATGATTAAGAAAACTGTCTGCATATTTTAGAGATATGCTGAAGTGTACAGAAGTAAAAACAACACATGGTTTGATTTGCTTGAAAATAATTCAGGAAAAAAAAGACATAAGGGATTGGGGAAATAAGTGTGATACAATCTTGTTAAATGATGAGTAACAGGTGTATATACAAGGGTTCATTGTACTAGTCTTTACATTTGTGTATGTTTAAAATTTTCACAACGGAAAAAGAATTAACACTCTACATTAAAATTCCCTTTCCCTTTGATATTCATACATCTTTGTTTATATTTAGACATATTAAACTATTATTAATCAGGGGCTGGGGTTGTGGCTCAGTAGTAGAGCACTTGCCTAGCACATGTGAGGCCCTGGGTTCAATTCTCAGTACCGCATATAAATAAATAAAACAAAGGTCTGTTGACAACTAAAAAAAAAAAAAAAAAAAAAAATATATATATATATATATATATATATATATATATAAAAGATCATTAATCAGCCTTCCAACTCAATTTATGAAATCGATTCTAGTTTTTTTGTTTTTTATTTTTTGGTTCTGGGTATCAAACCCAGGGTCCTACACAGGTCATGCAAATGTACTACCACTGAGCTACATTCTCAGCCAAATTCTAGTTTTAAAAGATATTTTGGTCCTACGAAGTAAAATAAGTTTTAAATTTCTGCACATTTTCTGTATGCTTTTACAGTTCCAAGAAAAGATAAATGCCTTAACAAAAGGAATCACTGCCCAGCATGGTGGTGCACGCCTATAATTCCAGAGGCCTGGGAGGCAGAGACAGGAGGATTGCCAGCCTCAGCAACTTAATGAGACCCTGTCTCAAAAAATAAAAAGGGCTGGAGATGTAGATTCATGATAAATTGCCCATGGGTTAAATCCCCAGTACCAAAAATAAAAAAATTTAAAAAAGAACCGTCACTTAGCAGTAAATAATTCCCAAAGCAATTGTGAAATTCAGTTTGTAGTCATTTCACATTAAAAACAAAACAAAACAAACAAACAAACAAAAAAACAAAAACAGATTCTTGCTTTCTTCTTTTTCAGTAAACATGGCTCTAAAGAATATCTGATAATATCACTATTATTTGTTTGGTATTTATTTTATTTATTTATTTATTTATTTTTAAGTAAGGCAAAAATCTTTTTAATGGCATTAATTACTTTTGCTGTCTCTTCTTTTCCCTTACAACCACCAGGCATAGAGTGCAGTTAACTGAGAGCTGAGTAGTACATCTCTAATTTCAATTTCTGTCCAGTAGGAACTGCTGGAATTCATTGCTAATTCTAGGAATCACAAACAAACAAAAAACCTGCCACCATATTCTTCCAGGTATTAGAAACAGAAAAAAATATTTATCCTTACTCAAAACATGGTAAAATAAGACTACTTGAGAAGAGGGAAGAAACTTCATGCTGGAGTGCCACTGAGTTAAAATATATTCACCATTTAATTAAATATTATTTCAGAAAACCAGCAATTTCCTGTTGAAAGGCTACACTAAATAACAAAGAGTGAGGATGCCTTACTCAGTTTGAGTTTGGGAGATGTGATGTCATCATCATCAGGCAGCGGCCCCAGCTCTTTCCTTTTATCCTTCAGTAACTTCTCCAGGATATGGGCATCATTGTATACCTAGGGTTCAAAAATATATTTATTTTCTAAAAAAAGTTTTATCAAGGTATAATATACAGCTGTAAGGAAATTTTAAAAATATGGTTTAGGACAGGTGGGAGTTAAGGGCCTACACAATAATTTGTATGTTTTTAAGCTTCCTAAGTGATTCTAATGTGTAGACACACATGCTAATTATTGAGAGCCACTGTAGTAGAAACCCTGCAGTGTTTTCCAGAAGTTCCAAAACACATTTACATGTGTGTTTTCTTCAAAGATCTCTTTTCTACTAGATTTTCAAGGTAATGGACTTAGTCCAATGGAAACTAAAGATTAAAAATATTCCATGGGATCTGGGTATGGTGGCACACACTTGTAATCCCAGTTACTTGGGAGGCTGAGGCAGAAGGATCCCAATTTCAAGGCCAGCCTGGGCAATATATCGAGACACTGTCTCACAATAAAATAAAAAGGATTGGGAATGTAGCTCAGTTGTATAGAACTCCTGGGTTCAATCCCCAACAGTGCATAACAATTTTTTTTWAAAAAATTAAAAGAACCTGATGTTTGGAGAACTATTTAACTATTGTTAAATCCCAAATCTGAATTCAACATCTGGAATCTAATATTTAAACAAACAAACAAACAAACAAACAAACCTCTGCTTAGAGATTTCTCTTTAAAGACTGAGCTAAGGTTTGTAATATGTACTGAAGAACAACAAGGTTATTTACCTAATGGCCTTGCCCCATAGCTGCCGCCTTCTTTCTCAGGAGAGGCTATGTCCTCCCTTAACTACCCACCAGAGCAAAGCAGCTGAGCAATTAAGTGACCTCTCTTCTTTGGCTACCTCACTAAGGGATAGCTTTTATTCCCATCAGTGATACATGGTATAATAGTCAGTGATATAGTATAAACCCCTACTATAGAAGGAACCATTTCTTTCATCTATCAGTATCCCCAGCACATATTTTATTTTATATTCAAATGTAACAGAAGAAGGAAAAAAAATGGTTTGAAATATTATTTTGTTTCTGGGAGATTTAAAGTGTATAAAAGATATGAAACAGAAAAAATATCAGAGAGGGAAGATTGTGCCTTACCTATACTGATAAAGAACTGAAAATCATGGGCTGCGGATATAGCTTGGTGGTAGAGCACATGCCTAGGTAGCATACACAAAGACCAGCAACAAAACAAAACACAAAGATGTTTTGTATCCAAATCAATGATTTAGAGGTGCTTTTATGGAAGCATCACACTGACTCTCACATAACTGTGTAATTCCATGGGGTGTCTTTACAGAAGTATGGCTGTTGAGGATAGTAATAATAATGATGCACCTAGGGATGCAGTTTGGTAGTGGAGCATGTGCTCAAGGCCCTGGGTTCAATCTCTAACACCCCCCACTCCCCCCAAAAAATGATGAAAAATTATTCAGATTCAAGCAGTCTTCTAAATGCTCAATTTACATTATCTCTTATAAATCTTATAATAACCCTGGTGCAAGTATTATGATCATTCCAAAATTATAGATAAGAAATTGGAGGCCCAGGAGGATAAGTTTCTCACACAGGGACTGGTAAAGCAGGATTCAAATCTAGGATGCCAGCTTACAAAGTATGAAGTTTTAATCTTTGTATTGTACTGTCTCTCATTTTAAACAATTATGAGAAGACAAAGTATTTATTTATCCACTAAGAATAAACTAGGTTAAGCCTAGAGCTGGTCTCTCAAAATGCATTATTCTACCAGCACCCAAAAGAAAATGTGTCTACTTCAGAACCCCACCTGTTCTCACCTGGGAGCCCTCTTCATTGTAGTGCCTCGCATTCCTGAACATCAGCTTCATGTCTTCTATCATTCCCTCTTCACCTGCATATTTGTCATTGCGGATATTATGCTCAATTATTTTCAAATCCATTGGCTCTAAGATGATTTTATAATAATCAGGATAGTCCTTCTTGGACGGTTTAACCATAAATAGATCACAAAGTCTTCTGCCTGAACCTGGCTCTCGAGCTTCAAGAACAACATTGAATAAGATTTTCATTCGCTGTTTTCTTATGTTCTTTTTACTGTTGAGTGGGGAGGTAGAAGAAGGGAAAAATGACAACAGGTTCAGTTTTCTTTATACAAGAGATGAACATGAAATAARACAAATTAATCTTGTGGGAAGGTGCTTTTTAATGATTACAATTTATTTATTACATATGCCACAAACACAGTAAACATGCTGGAAGCTATAAGCAAATAGAGGAAAAATTTCCAAAACAGTTAAAACATAGTAACCCTGGCTGGATCAACCAGTGAACACCAGACAAACCTGTTTAGAATATCTCATGAAATGCAATGTTTGAAAAACAAACAAACAAACTTGACTAACACCAAAATAAATATAATTCTAAAATCGATCAAAATACATTTTAAAAACAAAACAGAGCCGAAGTGAAATAAAGCTAGTTATTTTCTATTGTTATTAACAGCTTCACTTCCAAGCACAATAAACAAAAACAAAACAAAAAACTAATAAAGAGAAGTGTTCTTTCTTTCAGGATAACCACTCTGAACAATAGTATATTCTGGTTGCCAGAAAAAAAGAAGACTGTCTGCCTGGTTAGTATCTATAGTGGGTTCAAGTCTTTCTTAAATTGTTCATGCCAGGGTCAGTCTCCTCTTTCTCTGATCAGCACTGCTGTACAATCCCATCCTAACTTAAGGAAGAAAGTCTAGACCCTGGTTCATCTAAACCCTCTATAGAGTAAATTTTCATCTTTGAGCATGAATTCCCATTTGGTTCTCCAAATTCCCTAAGTGAAGTGCAATACTGAGAAATTGATATATGGAACAAAGTACAAGGGCCCCAGATTCAAAAGGGGTCCAGGATGGCAAATGGTCTCATGTCCTATGGAAAACTGGCTCAGAGAGGCTAAATGACTTGTGCAAGGTGAGGTGCTCAGTGAATTATTAGAAGAGATGATCTTTCACTATCACTTTTGCTCAACGTTCTTGTCTTCAGGACAGTGGGAAAGAACTTCTAGCCAGACTCTAACCAGTAGTTTCCAAGAGAACAGTTGGATAGGTAAAACCAAGAAATGACTTCTGACTTAGTTCCTATTCAGCAAACACTCCTAAGCTCCTATAACATGGCACTTAGATGTAACTATGTTTTATCTGTTTCCTATCCTGCAAGGGAAAAATAGTTCATTCCTGAAACAAACTATATGGCTGCATGGGCCTCTTAGTCCAGTCCTATAACTTTGTTTTAAGTTTGCTTGTTAATGAACAAGCCAAAGATATTTTCTCTCCAAGATATGTTTTTCAAACACAGAAACAGAATTCAAATAAAGAACAAAAGTTAAGAAAATAGATATCCTAAATCAGCCTATTTTCTTAGCATCATGGAGCTTAAGGCAAATAGAAAGTGATCTAAAAAAAGAAAAGAGCCTGTTCCTAGGGTTGGGATCATTCTCATCACTTGCTTAATCTTTTTTTTTTTTTAAACATACCTTTATTTTTATTTTTATGTGCTGAGAATTGAACCCAACACCCCGCACATGCTAGACATGCACTCTACTGCTGAGCCACAATCTCAGCCCACAACTTGCTTAATCTTAACTCTGATAGCTTTCCTTTGTGGACCTGGGATCATTCCTGCCAATGTGCTCCCCCCCCATTCTTTTTTCTCTGTGTACAGTGAGTATTTATTAGATAATCTAGAAAATTTTTCATCTGGTGGGTATTAATTCTCCAAAGAGACATCCTGGAGTGATGATATGAGAGGAAGAGTTCTCTAATTCTAGGTCTTTGGCAAGTAGATATTGGGACAGAATTGGAACAAAGCTTCAATAGGGCACAGTTCCACATCTGGGCACAGATTAGAATGCAGATGACTTTAACCTTCAGGAAGTCTTTGAAGGAAAATCTCAGAACTTGAGTTTGATATCACAGAAATTCATACCTAAACCATTCAGATCAGATATGGTTTATTTAGGTTTCACATGTGTAGGTTAATTTTTTGGTACTAGTTATGGAACCCAGAGGCGCTTTACCACTGAGTTCCAGCCCTTTTTATTCTTAGTTTGAGACAGGGTCTCACTAAATTGCGGGGGTTGGCTTTGAACTTGCGATCCTTCTGCTTCAGTCTCCCAAGCTGCTGGGATTACAGGCATGTGCCCCCATGCTTGGCTGTGTGGGCTAATTTTAAAAGGAAGACACAAAGGGCTTTTGGCTAAGGTTCAGTGGTAGAGCCCTTGCCTAGCATATTGCAGACTCTGAGTATGATCCCTAGCATCACAAAACCAAAACTAAAACCAAAACCAAACCAAACCAAACCAAAGACACCAGAACTCAATTTGAAGCCCTGAGCTTAAAAAAAATCTCAATTGACCCAGAATGAAAACAGTCCTCATTACCAGAATTCCAGGCAGCCTAACAGTCAAGGCCCTGACCCTGATCTAGGAGGAAATCAGCCCTACTGCCTCAGCATATCACTCCCAATAAACCATTAGAATTTTTCTGTATGAAGCTACAAATACTCTGGTGTGGGACTGAATCTAGGGCAGATTTTTAAAGAGATTTTTAAAGACAAGGAAAGTTTTTACTTGAAATTTGCCAGCAAAGTAAAAGAAGGGCAAGTCAATTTTTCCAATGCCAGTAATTCTTGACACCACCAGACAGTTCTGAATGAAATATACCCAGGATGTAAAATCTAGTTGTATATGAGAAATTTTTCTGATAACTATAATTTATTATTTTAGTAGTCATAGTACAAACAGTATCCTTTCTCCATTTGTATCATTTACTCTAGAGAGTGATATCTAATTGTTTCCATCCTCAAAGGCAAACAAAACTTCTGTATTACTAGGGTCTTTATAATCTTCTTTGAACAAATTCAGGTTTTTTATTTTCTTTACCTTTTCCCAGATCCTTATATTGAGACTGAGAACCATGGTCCACTAATTTTAATTTGGCTGCCAGAAAAAACTAAGAGATAAACTTCATACTGTTTATAACAGTTGTATTAGCCTGGCTGGCTGATATGTTTATCTCTTTCTAATAAGGACACTGAACCTTATCATATCCATGAATTCTGAAATCTTCAAATACTTTTTTTTTTTTTTAATTAACCAGAGATTGAATCCAGGGGCACTTAACCACTGAGCAACATCCCCAGCACGCACACGCACACACACGCACGCGCACACACACACACACACACACACACACTGCCCTCGATTTTCAATTTTGCAACAGGGTCTTGCTAAGTTGTGTAGGGCGTCACTAAATTGCTGGACCTAGCTTTGAACTTGTGATCCTCTTGCCTAAGCCTCCTTACAGGTGTGCACCATTGCATTGGCTCTTACTTTTTGAATAAGAAAAACTCTGCATTATAAAAAGCTATCATAGTCCATTATTTGATACTTTCTAGCTACTGTTTTCAATGTCACTTGGCTTTTCAGATTCTTCTTAGAACCCCTGTATACATTCTACTTCACTGCCTTCAATTCCTTAATTATGACTGCTTCTCCATTTTGGGAAAAGTACATAAAACTAAATGCCACACCCTGTAACTTGCACAATCATTTTTTAAAAAAATATATATCAGCATCTTTGAACATAGAAAGTAAAATTTATCTCAAGGGAATCCAAAACCAAGGCTGTTAATTATTGTGCACTCAAGGAAGGGGCCATATTTAAGTGAATACTAAGTTAGAGATAACAGATACTGTTGTTATATATATATATATACAATTTTAGAATTTTACAGATGGGCCACAAAGAGTCCTATCCTAACAAAACCAGTGTATTATAGCAAATTTCAGATATATGAAAGAAAAGTGTCTTATGAAATTGGTGCGTTTTCTAATTTGTACAAAGATTATGTGCTAGTAGGGGCTCTGTTCTGAATTCCTTATTTTCTAGGATCAACACAATCCTCCTGAACCCAACCCAATCTGAAACATCAGAATCATAACCATTTTTGCTCTTCTCAGCTTATCAACAATTTCCAGAAGACGTCACAGACCTTCTAGATCTGATATTCTTTCAACTATTCATACATGTTTTAGTCTCAACGCTAATCTTTGTAACTGACCACTTTCTCAAATTTCCTTACCATCATTCTTTCTCTGAAGCTATTATTTTTATATGTACTCAATTTATAGTTAAAACAATTATCACTTCTATCTACTATGTACTGTAATTTAAGCCTCAAAATCTGAGATTCAGGTACAATTAATTATTAACTATGTAGAAGTAAAAACTGAGACCTAGAGACCAAATGAATAAGGCCACAAAGTGAATAATCAGAACACTTCAATCAGATAATATGTGGCTTTCATCATGTCCCTCACTTTCCCAAAAGCTGGCTGGCACTAAAAGCCTCATTAATCACATTTAACCAACAGGCTTCAAAGTCTCCTGGCACTTAACTCCCTGGCTTGAGAGTGTCAGTGGTGCTTGTTAAACTAAGTAAATCATAGGTTCTTTTTTGCAATATTTGGAATTGAATGCAGGGGTTCATGCATGGTAGGCAAGCAATCTACCATTGAGCTATATCCTCAGACATTTTTGTTTTTGGAGAAAGGGTCTTGCTAAGTTGTCAAGGCTGGCTTTGAACTTTTGATACTTTTGCTCAGCCTCCCAAGTAGCTGGAATGTACCATCATGCCTGGCCACAGTTTAGTTCTTTTATAAAGCATACAGAAATTCATTCTAAAGTAGTGAAGGCTTTAGAACAAAACATTTCATTCACATTTTCCAATGAGATTTGGAAAAGAACAAAATGAAATCTACCGTGTCCTAATATCAACAGGCACAACTTCCAAAAACAAACCTATATTTACTAAGAACTCACTTCATATAGGCCCAGTTGTAAGTTTTACACATAGTAACTCAGCTTTACAACTGAGTCCTCACAGCAATCCTATATTGGGATTGTCACAACTCCTTTTTCAAGTAAGGAAGTTGAAATGAGGCTTACATTCCAGAGCTAATAAGAACAGCTGGTATTTGAATTTAGGCACTTGGTCTCCAGAGCTTGGTTCATAACACCATCCCATGAGGTCCCGTATTTCTACTTCCAATAACTCCTAGAGCTTGGTGCCACATATTATGAATGATACAAAAGAATAGAGCCTCTGGTATTTTTTAAAATTTATCATCTCATAAAAAAAGTTTCTTAGGGAAAATCCTGGGTGGTATATGCATAGTAGATATGTAAAATGGATTACATATGGCAGTAACATGTAGGCAACTTTAGAACAGTTAGCTTTCAAGGAAAAACAAGGTGGGGAAATAACTTTCCTAAAACTGTCTAGGCAATCAGGACATTTTAAAAAGTATACCTACATAGTTGTATGCACTATACAGTGTTCTTTTACTATGCTGATTCCATTCAGTTGTTTTCAACCTGTCTCCTTCCCTGGCCACTAAATCCCTGGCAAGTAAAAGAAATGACTAAATGTTCTCCTTTATGATCTATAACAGCAGGGTCTGGTGTTCTGTAAGCAAATGACACTGAATATCAGATGGCAAACATGAAAACAAAAGCACTACACGATTATCATTAGCAACGTGACATGGCAATTCATAGACTTTAAAATCATAAGTATCATGCAAAGAAATGGAGAGTTTTAAAGAAATAAGACATGGACAGATCAGAGACTGAGAAAATGTATCCATGCTCAAGAAGCATTAGCCCAATGCACAAGTGCCCACATGCACTGACTTCATCTGGATTATCATTGTTAATTTTGTAATTTTGATCCCTCCACCACTCCCAATCACTAAAAAATGTCCCTGAAAGGGAATCAGCACCAGTCAGTCCCTGTTACAAATAATGCCACCGTACGTATTAGCAATCTCTACCTTTTAATGTAGCACAATGATTGGTGAGGAGGCTTTTTGGCCCTGGCAAAGCCAGCAACAAATTAAGGCTAGTATTGAACATATCTAGGTTAGCCAATTCTCATCTCATTTATTAGACTTCTAGACAGCGTTTCTTTCTGTATTTGTAAAATAAACTAGCACCCCAAACACTTTTGTTACATGCTTAAGGCTTCACTTTTCACCTTTAGTACTGACCATGACACAGAAGAATTATACTTTTAAAAATATTTTTACACATAAAAAAGGACTGCACACCTGGATAGCCTCCTGAGACCCAACATCTCACTGTCATGAGTGTTCCTGGGAAAGCAGAAATAAACATTACATGTGTAGAGAAATAAAACAAGCAACATTGGAGGGTCATGCACAAACCAAATATGGTTGAGAAAAAGAGGATTATTCAGTCCAAAGCATAAAAGATCTTAATACTTGGAACATTTTAACATGGAAGACAGAAAATAGATTTTTAGGAAGAGGAATGGGGAGGGGGGGAAGAATGCACTCCCAGAATAAAGAGAACACACCCATAATCATTTTTTTTCACTCTTTGGTATTAAAAAAGGAAAAAAAAAAAGGCAAAGATAGAATCATACACAATACTTAGGAGTCAAGTTGCAAAAGTTGGCCCTGAGTTCTCTGGCCAAGCTTAACTCAACCTTCGAGGCTACAGTTTGCCTGACTTCTGGAGAAGTCTATTTCTTATTACCAAAGCCTCTCAACATAACTACATTCTGAAAGACTCATCACTTTATTTCCTTTGTTACAGACCAAAGTTCAGGACTTAATTCTCTCAATCTTTTAAGGTACATTCATTTTTTCATATTAAACCCAAGTTTGTTCTTTCACTGCTTTGGTAGATGAATTATAGTTGTTCTCTTATTTCTGTCTTTCACTTTGTCATACAAAATACTTCCTAGAAAACCTGTTAATACAGAGACTTTTTGTCTGAAATGGAATGGAATCTTTTTTTTTTTTTTGGTGATGGTACTGAGGATTGAACCCAGGGTGCTTCGCTGCTGAGCTATATCCCCAGCCCTTTTTTTATTTTTTAATTTTAAGTCAGGGTCTTGATAAATTGCTAAGGCTAGCCTCAAACTTGAAAAACCTCCTGCCTCAGCCTCCCAAGAAGTTGGGATTATAAGTGTGTTCCACCACACCCTGCCAAGGGAGTTCATAATTGTAATAACATAATGCTTAAGTTTGTTTTTTACAGGAGGTTTTAGGGCAATAATTTTCATTTCATCTACTTGGGTGTCCCACAAACTACAAGCCACAGAGATGTAATTTTTAAAGACTGGCTTGGGTTTATGCTTCCTTGGAACTCTTCTCTTAACACTCAACTACTTAAGAGCTCTCTTTTCATCCAGTGCTGGCACTAACTGTATCATCACTTTTGCCTCCATTACCTTCTTTTGTCTGAGAAGTTTTTATCTTTGATTGGTGACTGATCTGGAAAACACAGGTGATGCTGAAGTAGAGTTATATAATTACACTCAAAGATGTTCTTGATTTGATGTCTCTGATCTGGTTTCACATTTTTCCTCCGTAGTCCCTGGTATAACAAGGAATTAAGAACTTGGAAGGATGAAATTCATAGGCTAGTGACGGAGGAGACTCACATCTCAGGGCACACCACTCAATTTAGTTACCACGGCATAGCATTGCAAAGTCATTTTCAGAGCTAAAAAAATTTTCCCAAATGTCCTTTAAAAGAGGGAAAGACAGGATAGCTTCTATTTTCTAAACCACTTTTTAAAATCTTCTGATCTTAGCAGATCTTTTAATGTATGTATGGAACTGTGTCTACAGCTACTAATAACTTCTTCATTCAGTTTTGACTCTGTCAAGCCCTGCTATCAGAGTAGCTTATTCCTTGTTTAAGGTAGCCTCCCTAGACTCACTGCTGCTGCAAAGACTGTAAGGCAGTAGGGTTTAAAGAAGACTACAGTGTTCCACAATGATCAGGCCACAGAAACTCCATGTGCATGATTCCTTATAGGAGCCCAGTTTCAGAATCTCACAATAAGATCCCCTTCCACAAAACCCATGAGAGGAAGAAAGGGTTAGGGAAGTTGAAAGAAAGATTAAGAAGAAAACCAAAAAACATCCAAATATCTAGTTTAACATTTTACGAACTATAAGAAGTTATGATGGTTTTACACAATCTGACATTCTTAAAATCACAAATAAAGATCAAACTAAAAAGGAAAAATAAAAGGTAAGGAGCAATGACTTACTTCACTGTAGCGGGAGAAATGAATTCTCCTTACCTTTCCTAATTCATATTACATCTTTGTAATTTACTATGTAGAAATTACCTAAATTAGATTTAAGTGGCAATCTTAAAAAGCCATCTTACTATCTTTATCTGGATAGTAAAAATTACATGTTTGCCAAAGTGCATATGTAGGTATCTTTTTTTCCCCCTGTGTCATCTAAAAGCAATGTGGTACTTAAAGAAAAATAATAACAACTAATTATCCAATTTATAAATGAATTCCAAAAGATGTTATCAAATATTTCAAACTTATAATCAATACTTCACCACTTTAAAAAATATTTTTTCTGTACTTATCTAAAATAAACAGGAACTGAGTTAGTTCCAGCTATGAGAAGATCATATACCTTTTTCTTTTGGCACTACCAGTATCAGAGGTGGCTGAAGAGATCATGCTGTCTCCATCCTCTATGTCATCTCTTCTGGCAAGCTCTTTCTTCTTTGTCTATAACAAAGCAGGTTTCAGGAGTCAGACTTACTCTGTTGAACACATGTAGGAATATATGAATGTTAAAGAGCTAGACATGTCAGATTCATTCAGAAAATACCACGTAGCATGCACAAAATTAAAGATTCATTAAATATTTTTAATAACCCAGTTTAACAAAAACCTGCATGACAGAAAAGTAGGTTAAAAAAAATGGATCCAGAGAGTTAAAGAATCAATGTTAGCTACAGCATTTAAGACTACAAAAGGATTTAACTGGTTAAAAGCACTAAGGCAAGTTGTAGGACACCTTGTTTTGGTGGCCAACTCGAAGGTGATCTCTGGCACCCATGACTTCTAAAGAGACAGTGAAGTTAAGAAAAAAGTTGAATCTTTGAAAGGTGAAAAGAGATCTATTTTTCAACACATGCATTTTTAAAGATTTTCTGCCAAAGAGAGATGAAAGTCCAACCACAACAGGCATGGGAAATATACACATACACACACACAGTACTGCGGAACAAACGCCTGACATTCACAACACTAAGAAGTGCAATATTGATTATACAAAATGAAGAGAACCTATGGGTGCTTTAGTTGCTTCCTTGTGTTAAGATTATCTTTCTAAAAAAGATTCTACCAAAAACTGTGAGATAAATTCAGTTTCTTATCTACTATTTTGTCTTAAAATCCCTAGATGGCCAGTGACTTCAGATACCCTCAAAGGTGTACTTTCAAGGAGGATCTGTTAAAACTCTTGGGACCTTATACAATGAATAATTACCTTTCAGATGCCTTTTCTTCTAGACTAGTCCCATCTTAACAGAGACAAAGTCTAGAACCAAAAAAATAAAACCTAAATGACAGAATATCATCTAGGAATAAAGGGTAATTTCCCTACAATCCTAAAATTACTCAGGAGATTCCTCTATTCATGAAGCTTACTCCTTTCTAAATTATTACTTCTCCTCAAAATGGTCGTAACAATTCTAAAATAATAGTTAGCAGTACTGTGGTTGAAATGAATGACTTGATAATGTTGGGGGAAATCATTCACCTTAAAAGAACACACTCAATAAACGTAATACTATTTTGATGATACATACAACAAATTTAGCAAAACTAAGAAATCATACCTGCATGACTTGCTGCAATTTTAGAACTCGTTTATAGATGGCTGAATTGGGAACATTATAGCGCTTGGCATTTTCAAACATTAAATTCAGATCACACTCCAAATGATCTAAAGTTTCATATTCTTGGTTCTTTAATTTTGTTCTGTGAAAGACAAATAAATGGCTAGTACGTTCCACTTTGAAAATGATGAAATACTTTTTCTTCCTGAAAGTCCAATGCAAAAATCCTTGCAAGCACTCCACAGTATCTTCACTAGTGATAGTGGTTAGAAGCCTTGCAAGTGACTGTGTTAAGATAAAAAGGAGGGGGCTGGAGATATAGCTCAGATGGTAGAATGCTTGCCTCACATGCCTAGGGCCCTGGGTTCAATCCCCAGTACCACCACCAAAAAAAAAAAAAAAAAAGATAAAAAAGGAGGCATGCCAGGCCTGGTAGCACATGCCTGAACCCCAGTGATTTGGGAGGCTGAACCAGGAGGATTTCAAGTTTGATACCAGCTCTGGCAACTTGGTTAGGCCATCTCAAAACAAAAATAAAAGAGTTGGGGATGTAGTTCATGAGCAGAGCATCACTGGGTTCAATCCCTAATGGAAAAACCCTGATCATGGATAACAAGTAACTTTAAGAAGAAATAAAATTAGAGAGATTTTAGGGCTGGGGATGTGGCTCATGCGGTAGCGTGCTTGCCTACCATGCGTGCGGCCCGGGTTCGATCCTCAGCACCACATACAAACAAAGATGTTGTGTCCACTGATAACTAAAAAATAAATATTAAAATTCTCTCTCTCTCTCTTAAAAAAAAAATTAGAGAGATTTTAAACTACCTCAATGAAGAATCATGGAGAACTACCCATTTCTGAAAATAAGAGGACATTTCAACCCGGTATAGTGGTGCATGCCTATAATCCTGCTGCTGAGGAAAAGGATCACAAGCTCTAAGCCAGCCTTAGCAACTCAGTAAGAACCTGCCTCAAAATATAAAATAAAAAAGATGGGGGTGTAGGAGGTGTAGTTCAGTGGTAGAGTCCCCCTGGGTTAAATCCCCAGCATTGGGGTTAGGAAAGAGGCTGAATATTCTAGTTCATGCAGGTTAAAATAATAATAATAATAATGGCAATGCCATGAAGAAACATCTGGAAAGATATTTACTCAAGGAAGATATAAAAGGATAGCTTAATTGATTTTCCAATGGTAAATGAGAGGTAAATTTGTCAGAATCCATTTATTGCTATCCTCCAATATAACTTATTACAAACTATGATGGCCTAAGCTGAGGTTTTTGCTTTATTTTACTTAAAAGTCCTAAGTAAAAAGATAGGTTAGACACTACTGCTATTAATAATACCAGTTCTTTGAAAGGCCTTATGTACTTTGTGCTAAATGAAGAATCACTGTTTACTCTAACTCTATGTGGACAGAATAAACTTTTTTTTTCTTTTTTTAAGGATAAACTCTTAAATCTTGATTGAAGCACCTGCATTTTAGTCATCAAAATCACAAAAATATTATTAAAGAACCAAAATGTGTGAAAACAGTTTCACTGAATCAATGGAGATTCCAAATTTTCTCTTAGAACAGAATTGTCTGTTATGCATGTAAAGTTTCACTTAAAATTTAACAAAATACTATTCAGATTCTGTGTAGCACTTAAGGAATACAAATATTAGAAAACATATCTGAAAGGGGGAAAAACAAAACAAAAACTAAGCATAAATTCAGTCCTCACTACCAGCTTATGCAGCTAGCACCAGAGTTTATTAATCTTATTCCTGCCAAATCAAAGAATGCTAAGTGTTCTCAACACCTAAAAGAATCCAAATTTGCAAATAACAACTTAACAGATCTTCAGAGATTTATCAGTCTAAAGCTAATCAATTGAGACTTGGAGTGAAGGAAGAGAGAAAATGGAAATAAACATGGGGAAAACAAATCCCAGCACAGTGAAAAGTGGCATGAGGTACCACACTAGCTCCTATTCACTTCTGTGTGTGGGCCTGGGGATCAAAGCCAGGTACATGTTAAGCAAGTACTCTAATTTTGAGCTATCTCTCAGCTCTAGTTTTCCATTCTCAAACTTTTTTTTTTTTTTTGGTACTGAAGATTGAACCCAGGGGTGTTATACCACTGAGCCACATCCATAGCCCTTTTTAAAAATTTACTTTTATTTTTTTATCTTTATTTATTTTTATGTGGTATTGAGGATCGAACCCAGGATCTCACACCTGCAAGGCAAGTGCTCTACTATTTAGCTACAGCCCCAGGCCCCTTTTTTTTAATTTTTGAGATAGGGTCTTGTTAAATTGCTTAGGGCCTTTCTAAACTGCTAAGGCGGTCTTGAGCTTGCAATCTTCCTGTCTCAGCCTCAAGAGTAGGTGGGATTATAGGAATGTGCCACTACATCTGGCTATCCATCCATTCTTTATTGCTTTGGGGGACACTCAACTATCTTCCTTCTGCCAATTAATCTTCCTAGGACTATTCATATTGTAGACATTAGATGCATGTGGCTACTGAGATTAATTTTTTTTTTTTTTTAGAGAGAGAGAGAGAGAGAGAGAGAGAGAGAGAGAGAGAGAGAGAGAGAGAGAGGGGGGGGGGGGGGGAGGGAGGGAATTTTTTTAATATTTATTTTTTAGTTCTCGGCGGACACAACATCTTTGTTGGTATGTGGTGCCTAGGATCGAACCCGGGCCACACGCATGCCAGGCGAGCGCGCTACCGCTTGAGCCACATCCCCAGCCCGAAAATTTCCTGTTATTCTTAGAGAACATAAAAAATCTTTACCAAAGTTTATATGTCACGTTTGCCTAGCATCCTCTACTTTTCTTTTGCAGGACCTATCACATTTATGCTTAGCTCTTGAATTAATTATTTATATGATTATTTGTTTGTTGGTCCCTTCATTAAAGACTGAGCTTTGCATTCTAGTCCCCACTCTTCCACTCATTGTTCTTGCTGGCTGGGGTAAGAAGCAAGATCATTACTTCTGTGCCAGCCTCTCTTATAAATCTTTGTTTATGTGTCTGTGTCCTCCACTGAACTCTGAGTCCTTTGGGAAGAACTGGGCTAGAAACCAAGTCGGTCTAACCTCAGAACCTAAATTTCCTCATTTTTGCAGCAGGACAAGAATTAGGAAAATAATTGTGTAGATGAGGAAACTGAAGCCTGGAGTGGCAAAGTGACTTGCCCAAGTTATAGAGAGCCAGAGCAAAAACACTAGCTGCATTCAGTTGGCAACACAACAACTCTATTTTGTAGAGTAGCTGCACTCCCCATCCCAACCTGATATTTGATGAGGCCACTCTGTGTGAGGGAGACACATTCCTATCTGTCCTAGAGGATCCATCTGGGTTTCACATTATGGAAGCTTTCAGTCTTTGACTGCCATAACTTTCTTTTTCTTTTTCTCTTCTTTCTTTTCTTTTCTCTTCTTTCTTTCTTTCCTTCCTTCCTTCCTTCCTTCGCATTAAACCAAGGGGCACTTAATCACCAAGCCACATATCCAGTCCTTTTAAATATTTTATTTACTAACAGGGTCTCATTGAGTTGCTTAGGGCCTTGTTTGTCGCGACCCCTCGCCGGCAAGGGAAAAAACGACACAGGATTCTTCTTTCAGCAGTTTACTCAGGACCTTTGAATCATGATGAGAAAACAGGTACAAGAGAAGAAAGCGCGCGCGAGCGGTCGGTCTGCCCTTGCTTAAGTACCCAGCCCTGCCAATGAACCAGCACTACATGGAGGAGTCTAATAGGTGCAGCGCAGCGGAAGCAGGCCAGAGCCCAGCCCACAGCCCAACAAGGAGTTGTTTAACAACTCTAACCGCTGAGTCATCAGAAGCAGGAAGCCAGCGCCATTTTCAGGGTGCGGTCGTCGGCTC